GTCAATAGTACTTCAACTTCAAGATAATACATTTTCCCTCAGTAATATGATTTACCAATACATATATGTTTCAGTAGACTATAGTTGGTTTGTTTAAGGATGTCTTAGGAGATTGGAAGTTACAGAAAGAGAATTTCCTTAAAACATGTTCTGCAGAACTGGGTTAAAAAATAGCCAGTGCTGGAAAACAATGAATTAGAGAAATAAATAATCCAATGACTGTATTACAGCTCCTGCCCCAGTCTCTCTATTTCCTCAATGAGGAAATCAATGTCAGACTTAGTTGCTGCTGGGTTTGAGATGACCATTCGGAAGAAGTTGACTTTATCACCCTGAGGCTGGTATCCAACCATGGTAGTACCTGACTCCATCATCAGAGCTTTGATTTTTGGTGCCACCTTTATAATTAAAAAAAAAAAAAAAAGAGAGAGAAGAGTAATTAAAACAAAATCGTTCCTTTGTATGTCACAACATTTTTTTCTTAATTTGGAAAAAATAAATGGACAGATCAGAAAGGCACTAGTTTTTGTAATAAGCTCTGTAACAGGAAAAGCTTGGAAAAGCTACGTAAGTAGGACTGGACATTTAAAGGAAAACCAACAACAATAATGCCCATCTTTTTGATTAATAGACTAATACCATTCTAGAGTATTCACTGTGTATGCAATTTTAGATCGTCAATGTACATGTCATTTCTCTATGCTGAAGATTTTGTCATAAAGAAACCTTTCCTGACTTTTAATGAAAATCTACTCCAGAACAACCTTTCTGAGAGTAATGAAAGTTTTTTTATGAGAGTACTGTGCATTCTCAAAGTCATTTTCCATCATAGGGGGGGAAAAACAATGGAAAATTTTGAATAAGATCTACATCATAAAGAATATTTTCTGTTATTATAAGCCATAGAAACCTTCTAGTTTTGCAGTACCGTGCATTTACCACAATCCCACTTTCTCACTTTCATTTACAAAGAATAATGTTCTGGACATTTGGTATTGACGGAGTCCAGTTTTTCCATCCAGGCCCTCTTTCTCCTGCTCTACTCTCTGCCAGGCAAGGACAGCTGTCTGGCTCTTTCACTGTTCTGTAGGACACTTTATGATGTCCTCTAACATTTAATAAGGTTAAGTCAAACATTTCATCCTTCTTACCAGTCTTATCCATCTGCCTTTTTTCTTTCTTTTTGGGCAAATTCTCTATCTAACATGTCTCTGGGTTGACCCAGGAATTTGTTCTCTTCTGTTCTCTTTCCCCAGCAGGATGCAAATATAAAACCCTCTACAGAACCTCCAAAGTTTGCCCATTTTCCTCCCCTCTCAAACATAAAAATATTGCAATTCATTCTGAAGACTATAAAAACATTCTTTTGTCTTCTGAACACACTTCATTCCATTTCTGTCTGTCTAAAATGCCACTACAATATTAATGTATTTCACTTCCCTCAAGTCCTAATCAACATGATATTTTTGCTGGTGGTGCTTCTACGATGCCTTCACTTCCCTCTATCATCTCTTCAAATATATTTGTCCCAAAGTCCTCCAAAGGATATTAATTTTCACTGAAATGCATTAATGTATGAATAACCAAGCACATTTAAAATCAAAATAAAGACCTGAGAAGGACTTAAAGGTTTCCATGTCCTTTACCTGTCCCACTATTTTCAAATATTTATCCTTCCATTTATCTTGCTGATATACTGTCCTATTCAAACAGGACTGGGATGATTTTGTGCATGGCTACTATTTAAAGATTCATAACACTATGGGGAGCACAGAAGTGATGCAAAATGAAGAATAACTTGATATGTTCTGTATCTGGTTCTATAGGGGAAATGTGACTTCAGCCTCTGTATAAATAGAAGACAAATGCTGACAAATATCAAGGTGATAACAAGCAATCAGAAAATTCATGTCTCAGAATTTGGAACATATGTGAACACGCAGGTGTATCATTTTTAGTAAATAGAATACTTCGGGTTGGAAGAGTAGACTATATTTTTGCATTTAACAAAGTCGACATACCCTGTGTAATTTTTCTCGTCTCTCATCACAGTCTGTCATGCCCCTGAGACTTGGTGGAATATACCAGAAACATACATTTGTGTGCTCTGGCTGCAAAAAAGAACCAAACACATGCATCCATTAAAAAATAATACGGATCAATCACACAGTAAAGGCCAGTCAATAGCATATTTTAGCACAGACATGGAAGACCAAATACAGTATTAACTTTTCTAGATCTACACCTTAAAACAAAATAATGGATTACAGCACTGCTGGTTGCATCCACTCTCTTAGATTCCCTCTACGTTGTCCTAGTTACAGTGTTTTAGGGTGCTAATGAAGTGCAAATGCTCTTCACCTTTATACAGTTTTATGACGAATTGTTTGCCACGATCACGGCAGGGCAACTCAATTTCCCTTTTCTTAGTAAATGGAGAGAAAAAGTATATTTGTTATTCTATGAACCAAGAGCTTATGCAGCGGCACTAGCAACAAAACATACAGCAAGAAATAGCAGATTCTCAGTTATGTGTGTTATGAAGTAGAATCTCAGCATGTAGCATCTAGATGGTAGTAAGGTAGTCTTCATGCCCTAAAATTGAGAAGTCCTCTGCAGAAGAAAAGGAGAGAAGATAAATCTGACATTTATGGTACAAAACCACATGCGTTTGTCCCAAACCTGCCTAGATGCTGATAGTCATGTAGTTCTTTAGAAAGTAAGAGTGGTTTTGCACAACTGGCTTGACGAACTGTGAGACACGTAAAGACTGTTTTTGAAATTCCATACAGATTTGGCTCCTACTTAAAGAAAGAAAACTTACCTCCCCTTCAAAAACCATCTCAAAGTCTTCTCTGTTTTTGATTTTAGCGTAAAGATATTCTGCCAGCTCCAAGCATTTGTTGATCTGATTTTCAAATCCTACTGTACCCTGTTTTAGAAAGAAAGTAAGTATTAATTATATGGTCATTTTTCCTCCTCCAATGCAATCGTCTTTTCAGATAGGCTTCACTCTCAAATGTTTTCAGGCAGAAACACTTAGCAATATTATTTTTTTGTAATCTAAAAGTAATCAACACTTCAAAAGTGGTTGATGTGGCCTAACTGTAATTCTTTATATTGAATAAAATGACTGAAGGTAAACTCACAAGAATACTTTTGGACCTACGCTGTATATGCTACAGTGAGGACAAGAGTATGTGACCACTTATGGTGGCTAACGCTGAAGGAAAAATTTCCGTACCTTCTAATATTTTAGTTTCTTAACATTTTTGTAATACAATCATGCAATCTGCTAGAAACAGGTTCTATCCAATAGATACTCAGGTCCAAGAAATCTGAATCTGCCTCAAGATCAAACAGAAATCCAAAGTAACTCATTTCTGGGTAAATTTAAATTCCAGATATACAGCAATTTAGCAATTTTAAACTAAATTATTTTTAAAGAATCAAATCCACAGATATTCTACTTCTGAATTTTAAATACAACCCATATCCATTATGGTTTCCATTGTATTTTTCTTCCTTTATTGTGAAGTGCTTTAATTCTTTAGTGAGGTCAGTTTAACATCAGAGGTAAAATCAGCATACTAAACAAAACGTGTTGGCTGGTATTTAGAAAAACATTCAGTATATGCTTTGGTGGTGTCTGTAGCCAGCATTCAGTAATTTAGAACCATAAACAACACATTTCAGTGTTGCTAGTCACAGCCTGATTCTAATGTGTCACAAGCAGTTTCATGTTACTGGATTATAGTACCAAAATTATTTATTTTGGAGGAATAATTGAGTCTGAACTGAAATGCACTTAGCCTGGTACTAAAGTAATTGTTATAAGTACTTTGTGTTGAAGTGTTGTGGGTTTTTTTCTGAATAAAACAATTACAATTCTACAGTCTGTTGAGAAGTAACTGTGTATCAAAAGTTGTGTTACTTTCTTCCCTCAGTCTTCAATACCGAAGAAATCCGCAGGAAAATGTCTTTTATCATCACTGGCTATTTACTATTGCTGTCTAACTCACCCAAAGTCAAAATTGTTTTATGGTACATTTTGCCATTAGATTTAATCTCAGTTTTATAAAAAAAGATTAGACTGTGGACATGTTACCATTCTGTCAGCAGAAGAACAAGAAGAATAGTAACAAGATGACTCCAGATAAAGAAATGAAAATGAAATGTATTTTCTTCGCTACAAGGACATCTTGTGAAGAAGTGAGCCTGTATGTAAGCCCATGCTTAAATTCAGCCATCCAGGTATATCACTGCAGCACCAGTGAATCAACTGTGTAAAAGCTTCTTGAGAAAAAGGCTTCATTTTCAAAGTTGCTTATAAAACCTGTGCATTGAAATGTGATGCCCAAAGGACCTTGCAAGTCATCAAGTCCACTACGCTGCTACTACAAGTAATCTGTGGTAAAACATGTATGTAAATGTATAGCATCACAACAAATGACCATTTCTGTGTTCTGCCCTCATTGATTTTACTGCAGGACTCGAGTGACTTAAACCTTTCTTCTAAATTCCAGGTGAATTTATTGATGACTAACATTCTACAATTGAAATGTCTCTTTTCTAACTTCATACTCAGATACCTGGGTGTTGAGAGATTGTAATTACGCAAACATTTATGCTAAAAAAGTGTTCCATTACATAAGACTTATACACTAAACAAATAAATTTCTGATTTTGGAGCTGAACCGTTATTATTTACCTTTGCCTTCCACATCAACCAGAATTTGAAAATGTCCACATGTCGACCACACTGTATTGCCTTATCTCCAGTGTCATAGGATACATCATACTGTTTGTCTTGCTGGAAGAGATAGCCTGCACACATCTGATTGCAGCCTTGAAGTATACCCTGTAAGTAAAAACATGTATGTATATGATTTATACGACATGCATGCATATGAAACTGTATGCATGAACAACATATGAAAAAAGGATTCCTAGCATATACAGAATAACTGTCCTTTAATGGGCCAAATTAAATTGCTGACCTTCTTTTGTAAACCTAAGACACAAAAATAATTTCATAACCTCAGGTGGTTCTCTTAGAAGTCCCTGAGTAGTCATATGGTTTTACACATCCACACTTGAAAAAACATCCTCGGATTACTTTGGATTCTTAGTTTTTGCTACTGACTGACCACTTTGTAAGACTCTTTTCTTAAGACAAATTTTTGATGTGTTAGATTGCACACTAGAATAAAGGTGTGGTCTCTCAATGCAGCAGGTAGCTACAGAAAAATATTTTTAAAAAGAAAAACTTAACTGAAGGTTTCAATTTTATATATTATCCAGCTTCATGACACTTAACATTAGTGATAGCTATAAGTACAAATTACCTAAACCAGACATCTTTTACTTACAAATAACTACGGTCCACAGACCAACAGAAACCTATGGATTACTGTAAGTGTCTCTGAAAGAAACACAGAGGAGCAAATTCCTGTATGTTACACAGAAATCTCACATGTGACATTTCTAAACTGTTTGCATCTCCTTTAGAGTTTCTCAGTGGCTCTCTGGAGAAGCTTGAAGACACTGATGTGTCTGATAAATATAAAAATGCCTATCAGAGTTCTTACATAGGGAATAAAAAATTTTGCTGGAATCCTCAATAGTTAGCCTAATAAGCATACACGCCACTAAACAATGGCTAATTCTTCTCGCTTGATAGATATCAAAATGTTTTACAAAGGGAAATAAGCGCTGCAGTCTTTACTTTAGAGATGGGTCACCTGGAAGAGCAATGGGAAACCTAAGGTTGGAAGCCACAACTCCTTCATCCCAGTTCTATGCACTGGGACTACTTCTTCAATTAACCTCTTCTAACAACAATTGATATGCCAGAAATTAATGGACAACAGAATCAATTACATCTACAGATTATATAACTTTTTTTTATATGATCTAAGGGAAAAACATACTCCTAAAAAGAATTAACAGACTAGTCTTGCTTTCACTGAAGACACTGAAGAATCTAGAAGAAAGCCCAAAAAATACATGTGGAGTCATAATAAAAGCAACATGTTTTCAACAGTATTGAAAAACTTCTAAGCCACTGTGTAAGATAAAAAAGTTGTTTTTTATTTAAGCAGTTCAGACCAATTACTAAGACCAAGGATGTATGTCCAGTATAATATAGAAGCAACGGGGCAAATGCTCAGATGAAGTATATTAGCATGGCTCATTACTAGAATATGCCAAGATTCAACAGCTAAAGATCTGACCTCAGCTTTAAAAAAAAAGAAAAAAAATATAAACCAACTTTCTAAACACAACCTAAATCAATATAATTATTCCTTCCAAACAAAGTTCTGAAATTAAATGGGTTTTGCACTACCTTCTTAAAAAGTAGGGATTGATATTTACTTTTCCTTTTTTTTTTTTTAACTGCTTAACGATTAAATATAAGGCAGACCTTCTCCCGGACAAGAACAGCAGAACATTGTAACAACACTCCCATCATCTTGTGTGGATTCCAAGTGACTGAGTTGGCTCTGCAAAAAAAATACATGTTCAGATAGGTTTGGAAACCAGAAATTTAACCCGAAGCAGTCCCTTTTGTTTTCTGCTTTCCATGGATCATGATGATTTCACTGTGGAGATTATTACTGTCACACATCTTATTTCTTGGCTATACTGTCCATGAAACGAATGTTTTTTTGGGTTAACTTTACAATACCAGACTTCTGATTAGCTACATTATTACCAATACCAACTAATTCATGTCGGACTATGCTGATTAGCTGATATACCAACTTCACAACCAGAAGACTCCACTTCTAGAAATAGCAGTAATGAAACCAGCAAGAACAGTGTCCTGAGTAGTATCAATTCGAAGTTCTGAATGGGAGAGAGAGGTGTCAGGGAATTAAGGGAATAATATGAATTCTGGGAGAATACAGTTCTGTACTGAACAGCTGCTGGAAAAGCAGAAAGCAAGGAAAAGACACTTCTCACGCTTACCTGCTTTTCCAGTTAGAGCCACAAGAGGCCTTTCCTGTACTACTTGGTCAAGGCCACGAACTGTTAAAAGGCTGTAAAACTTTACATCACAATCCTACCATTCTGCATGCAAAGCTTTAAATTTTTACTTGTAAACACAGGTGGATGCACAACATAACCTAATTTACTAGCCAAACTAGTAAGGTGTTCTGTATGTTTAACATACTGTCCTAGACAGTTTAAAGATGACGCTAAAATAAATGTGCCAGCATTGCACATCCATTGACCTCTTCACCCTAAGTAATTAATCACCAAATGTCCCCTTGATTCACCGTGTGTTCCAGGGAAGGAAAGCATATAATCATATTTCACAGACTATGCCATGTAGTTGAAAGAAAATTAAAATGTATTTCCTCCTCTTCTACATGCAGCTCTCAGAGGACACAGACACAACCACAGTTCCTCTGTTTGGAGCAACACGACGACTCCTGCACCCCAGTGTGAGGGCCGCTATTTCCATAAGGATTCCAGACACGATTCCAACCTCTATCTGCGCTAGGCTGGACCGTAGCACCCCTCAGACAAAAGAAGTCTGGGCTGTACCTGGGCAGCTCATCATCCCTCTAAAACCTCGTGCTCAGGCAGTACACACCAGCAGGTACAGAGCCACGGGCAGTCCCTGCTCTGTGCCATGGCAGCGTGCCAGTCCTTACATGCCTGCCAGTCCTTACGTGCCCGCGTCTCCAGGCAGGCCGAGCCTGGCCTGGGTGTTAGCATCGGACCCCAGCTGCGGCCCGTGACAGGCAATTACCCAGCACACATGGGCCCCATCCCATGTTTGAAGATCCACACAGCTGACTAGAAAAGAAATATCATGCTTCGTGGCCTGCTGCTTTCTGCACTTGCTGATTAATTCAGGGTGTTAATTAGCACCTCTGGGTCGACCTCAGGTCAGAAGAGGTATGCCAAACCTCTTTGACCAAACCTGCACATCTTAAGGAAGTTAAGTTTGATGCTGACCTGATATTAGACATGTTGCCATAATGTGAGTGACGAGCAGGCTAGACCAGGCAGAGGTTGATAGAATTCTGCTACTTCAGAGCGCTCCTGCCACCTCACACACTGCTGTCCCTGTGGCAGCTCAGTCTGCATGGTTTTCCTACCAGTCTTCCTGTATATTATCTTGTATTTGTTCTTCACTTACTGTATGAAATACCCATTGCCAAGAAAGATTGTTC